TGGTGGTTTTGGGGGTGTGGAGGTCGAAGGGTGGTGGGGTGGGTGTGGGGGGACAGGTTGGGGTGGTGGTGTTGGTTGTGGAGGTCGGAAGGTGGGGGTGGGGGGGGGTTCGACGGTGGGGGTTTGGGGGTTGGGGGTGCAGGTGGGGGGGTGGAGGTCGAAGTGGGGTTGGGTGGGGGGTTTTGTGGAGGTGGGGGTTGGGGTTTGGGTTAGGTAAAAAGGTTTGGTGGTGGGGAGGTCGACCAGAAGGTGGTGGTGGTGGGTGTGGAGGTGCAGGGGGTGGTGGGGGTGGGTGGGGAGGTCGACAGGTGGGGTGGGGGGTGTGGAGGTCGAAGGTAGTGGTGGTGGGTTGGAGGTCGAAGGTGGTGGTGGTGGGGTGGAGGTCGAAGGTGGTGGGGTGGGGGTGTGGAGGTGCAGGTGGGGTGGTGGGTGTGGGGGTCGAAAGGTGGTGGTGGTGGTGGGTTGGAGGTCGAAGGTGGGTTGGGGGGGTGAGGAGGTGGGACGGTGGTGGTGGTGGGGGGGTTTTGGAGGGTCGACAGGTGGTGGTGGTGGGTGTGGGGGTGGGAAGGTGGTGGTGGTGGTGGGGGTTTTGGGGAAAGTCGACAGGTGGTGGTGGGGGGTTGTGCAGGTCGAGGGGTGGGGTGGTGGTGCGTTGGAGGTCGAAGGGGGTGGTGGGGGTGGGTATGGGGTGACGGGGTTGTGGTGGTGGTGGGTTTGGGTGGGGGTTTTCGAAGGTGGTGGTGGTGGTGGGTGTGGAGGTGGGAAGGTGGTTTTGGTTGGTGGTGGGGTGGAGGTGGACAGGGGTGGTGGTGGTGGTGGGTGTGGAGGTCAAACGGTGGTGGTGGTGGGGTGGGAGGGTCGAAAGGGTGGTGGGGTAGGTGTGGAGGGTCGATAGGTGGTGGTGGTGGGGGGGGGGGTTTTGTGGAGGTCGATAGGGGTGGTGGTGGTGGGTGTGTGGGGTGCAGGTGGTGGTTTGGTGGGGTGGTGGGGGTTGTAAAGGTGAAGGTGGGGTGGTGGTGGGTGTGGAGGTAAAGGTGGTGGTGGGGGGTGTGGGGTCGAGGGGGGTTGGGGGGGGTGGGGGTGGGGGTGTGGAGGGTGACGGTGGTGGTGGGTGTGGGGTCACAGTGGTGGTGGTGGGTGTGGGGTCGGGGTGGTGGTGGGGGTGGGGAGGTCACAGGTGGGGGTGGGTTGGAGGTGGAAGGTGGTGGGTGGGTGTGGAGGTCGCGGTGATGGTGGGTGTGGGGGTCGACAGTGGTGGTGGTGGGGGTTTTGGGGAAAGGTCCCAGGATGGTGGGGTGGAGGTCGAAGGTGGTGGTTTTTTGGTGGTGGGTTTGGAGGTCGACAGGTTTTTGGTGGGGGTGGGTGGAGGCGAATGGTGGTGGGTGTGAGGCCGAAGGTGGTGGGGGAGGGTAAGGTCGGTGGGTTGGAGGTCGAAGGTGGTTGGGTATGGGGTACAGGTGGTGGTGGAGGCGACAGGTGGTGGTGGGGGTGTGGAGGCCCGACGGGTGGTGGTGGGGGTGGGGCAGGTGGCGGTGGGTGGGGAGGTCGACAGGTGGGGTGGAGGTCGGACAGGTGGTGGTGGATGTGGAGGTCGACAGTGGTGGTGGAGGCGACAGGTGGTGGGGGTGTGGAGGTCGACAGGTGGTGGTGGTGGTGGTGGGGTGGAGGTCGACAGGTGGTGGGGGGTTTGTGGAGGCGTAGGGGGTTTTGGTGGGGGGGTCGACAGGTGGGGGGGGTTGGGAGGTCGAAGGTGGAGGGGTGTGGAGGTGAAGGTGTGGGGGTGTGGAGGCGACAGGTGGTGGGTGTGGAGGTCGACAGGTGGTGGGGTGGAGGTCGACAGGTGGTGGGTGTGGATCGGAAGGTGGGGGTTTGTGGGGTAAAGGTGGTGGTGGGGGGGGGGAGGTGGGGGGGGGGGGTGGTGGGGGTGGAGGTCGACAGGTGGGGTGGTGGGAAGGGGTCGGGTTTGGTGGTGGGGGGTTACAGGTGGTGGGTGGGGAGGTCGGGGGGTTTGGTAGTGGGTGTGGAGGTCGACAGGTGTGGTGGGTGTGGAGGTGAAGGTGGGGGGGTGGAGGTCGACAGGTGGTGGGTTTGTGGAGGTCACAGGTGGTGGGGGGGTGTGGGGTGACGGTTGTGGTGGGTGTGGAGGTCGAAGGTGGTGGGTGTGGAGGTCGACAGGTGGGGGTGTGGAGGTCGACAGGGGGGTGGGGTGGAGGTCGACAGGGGGGGTTGGGAGGTCGACAGGTGGGGGGTGTTGGAGGTCGACAGGTGGTGGGTTTTGGAGGTCGACAGGTGGTGGGGGGATTTTTCGACAGGTGGTGGGTGTGGAGGTCGCAGGTGGTGGGGTGGGGTCGACAGGTGGTGGTGTGGAGGTCGACAGGTGGTGGGTGTGGAGGTCGACAGGTGGTGGGTGTGGAGGTCGACAGGTGGTGGGTGTGGAGGTCGACAGGTGGTGGGTGTGGAGGTCGACAGGTGGTGGGTGTGGAGGTCGACAGGTGGGGGGTTGTGGGGTCAAACAGGTTTTAAAGGAAAAAAACAGTGTGTGAAATTCGCAGTCAAAACGAAAATGTCACGAAACACTGATTGCTTGCGT